GGGAGTGTGCAGGAGGCAGCTGATAGATGGTTCTCTCTCATCGATGTTTCTAACTCTCTATCCTCCCTTCCTCTCTGTAAAAAAAAAAATCAATAAAATATATATATTTTTAAAAAGAAATATTAGAGAGCAAAGGTCAAAGCCTTTGGGGCTCAGATTTGTGAAAAGGTTAAGAATAGTAGGAGCAGAAGTTGGACAGAGAGATATAAATGAAAGTTGTAGAAATATTAAGTTGCCTGAAGTCACATTTCTAATAAGTGGCAGAACTGAGATTTGAATGCAGATATGACTGATCGTTACGATCTTATGACCACACCAAATTGGTCTTTAGAGACTCATAGCAACTATTATTGTTTTTATCTTAATACTTATTGAGCTCTTAATATTTGCTAAGCAGACTTCGTAGAAATCGTGTGTGTTTTTCTAGCTCTAGAATAGTACCTGAACAAGTCTTTGGGTACAGATAGACTGTATTGGAACAAGTGTAAGAAAAAAGAAAAAGCAGTGGGGGATCAGGATTGTGTCCCAGAATCTGAGGGTAGGCAGGCAGCTGAATCTTAGGAATGGACTGAAACTGAGAAATGGAAACCTTTCAGGACATAGAGAGTATTTTTCTTCTACTTTTCTTTGCTTCTTGTATCTATTTCACTCTGCAGACCTGTTATCCTGTTACTCAGGTCACATGATGGAAATGGTCATGCCACACTTCCTCAATCATTCAAGAGAACAGCCCAGATTAGTCTCATTTCCAAACTTCTGTTTGGGTCACATGTCCGTTTCTGGCTCAGTCATCTGTGGCCCTGAAGTGGCAGGTATACAAACGTGGCTGCTGGCAGCCTACCCTTGTGGATTGAGGTAACAGTTCCTCTAGAAAATGAAGGTCGTTGGTGCATATGTTAATTTTATTGTTGCCTTGAGGACTGATGGGTCCTGGATTCGATTCTGGTCAAGGGCACATACCTTGGCTGCAGGTTCCCCGGGCCTGGTTGGGTGCATGCAGGAGGCAACTAATTGATATGTCTCTCTCATATCGGTGTTTCTCTCTGTCTCTCCCTCTCCCTTCCTCTCGCTCCCTAAAAATCAGTGGGAAAATATCCTCAGGAGAGGATTTAAAAAAAAATTCTTTTTATTTTTTTTTATTTTTTTTAGTAACACAGACCTGTGCTGTAGTATTTGTAGTATAAAAAATTAAAACTTACTGAATTGATGTAAGGAAAAATGGATATTTCATTTGCCCATTCCTCTTGGAATTGAAGAAAGTTACCACAGGATGAGAATGGTGAAAGATTAGCTTAGGCTTTCAAAATAGTTTGATGGAATTTGGGATTAATATACGTTTAGGCTTTAGTGATGTCCATACCACTTAATACCTTTTTAAAGATATATATGTATTTCAGAGAGGAAGGGAGAGGAAGAGAGAGACAGAAACACCAATGATGAGGGAGTCATTGATCATCTGCCTCCTGCATGCCCCACACTGGGAACTGAGTCCACAACCCAGCCATGTGCCCTGACCGGAATCGAATCATAGCCTTCTGGTCCATAGGTCAATGTTCAACCACTGAGCCACGCTGGCCAGGCACTACCGTTTTGCTTGAACAGATCATAAAGTTCACAGTCTCGGTGCCTTCATCTTTATTGTAAAAGGAGAGAACCAAGGGAACAAAAAGTCTTTAAAGTTTCTTTAACATTCTAGACTCTGAGTAGATTTAGTTCTTCCTCTCTACCTCAACCTCATCTACAAAATAAGTATTTTAAATCTAAATGCTGTCTTTGGAGGGCTTTAATTTTGTAGAGACAGTAAAGAGTTTTTATAAATTTGCAAGTCTCTCTGCCATGTCTCATTAGTTAATTTTTACAGATCCCACCTACACAGTGTGTTGCCACTACTCCCCGTTCCATTCCCACTGCATTGCCTTCTTATTGTAGTTGTCTGTTGAACACTATCTCTGTCTCCTGTTCTGCACTTTTCCCCCAATCCAACCTAGAAAATGCCTCTCAAAATTTATTTATTTTTTGGTTAATCCTCACCTGAGGATATTTTTTCCATTGATTTTCAGAGATGGTGGGGGAAAGGGGTAGAGAGACATCAGCATGAAAGAGAGACATTGATTGGTTGCTTCCTGAACATCCCCCAAATGGGTCAGAATTATCTTGTCATTTTCTTCCCCATAGTTTCATAGCACTATATCTTTCTGTCTTGCTCAGTATGCCTTTTGTGGGTTTTTTATTTGTTTTTTTTGTTTTTTGTTTTTGTTTGTTATGAACTTACTGAGGGAAAGGACATGTTCTATCAGTTGTATTAACAATGGTATCTAGCCTGTTCTGTGCACATAGTTGGCACTTAGTAAATTTGGTAGAATCCACAAGATACATAACTTACTTTTTTCTAGACCTGTGAGCTTCTTGAATATATGCTGCGGAGTTCCACTTTTCCCTGTTCTTGTTTGGCAGTTAGTTTATAGGCAGAAGATTGAAGACCATTTTATTATTCTGTGAATTTAAATGGAAATTGGGGGATAGCAATTTATAATACAATTCTGATGCTATGAGCAAATAAGACATGGTATAGTAGAAAAGAAAGCAAACGTAGGGACTTGTTGAGGTATTATTTCAAATTTTAACTCTAACACGTGTGACATTAGATAGGACCACCCCACCCCACTATTCAGAGCTCTCAGTTGGTTCTTCCCCACTCCCTTAACAATTATAATATGGTAGCAGCAAAAATGAAATAGGGATTGGTAAATGAGTCAACCTAACAGGATTATTAGTAAGATCTAGTTGATTGCCAGAGATGAAGACTACCTTACCAAATAAGGAATCTTGCTAGATAATAGCTTTGCAGAAAGTTACCACAGGATGATAATGGTGAAAGATTAACTTAATAAAAAATTCAAATTATTTTGCTGATAGTCTATAAAGGAAAATCATAGCTAAAATTTTTTTATGGTTTCCTAATCAACTTATGACATGTATTTAAATTGGCTTCTCCTTCTGACTTTATATCTTACATAAGTCCTCAAATTTGTATCAAATCTTGCCCAGTTGGTGTGGCTCAGTGGTTGTTGAGCTATGAGCGAGTAGATCATGGTTCAATTCCCAATCAAGGCACATGCTTAGGTTGTGGGCTCCATCCACATTGGGTGGTGGTGGTGGTGGTGGTAGTGGTAGTGGTAGTGATGATGGTGGTGGTGGTGGTGGTGGTGCAGGTGGCGCAGGATGCACCTGATCAATGATTCTCTTTCATCATTGATGTTTCCATTGCTCCCTTCCACTCCAAAATCAATAAAGATATATTAAAGAAAAATAATTTGCATCAATCTTAAAGGAAAACATATTCACTGTTCAAATTAAGCCTGAATAGAGAGCAGCCCTATCTCCATATGCAATTCAAAACACATATTGAGCACCTTAGCACCATGCAAGTGTTCTGTTGGGAATATAAAGCAGCTCCTCAAGATGCTACTAGACTAAGTGATAGGAAGTCAAACGTGATTTTTTAAAAAATATATATTTTATTGATTTTTTTACAGAGAGGAAATCGATGGGAGAGAAACATCATCAGCTGCCTCCTGCACACTCCCTATTTGGAATGTTCCCACAACCAAGATACATGCCCTTGACTGGAATTGAACCTGGGACCTTTCAGTCCACAGACCGACACAGTATCCACTGAGCCAAACCAGTTAGGGCAATTTTTTTTTTTTTTAATCCTCACCCAAAGATATGTTTTTATTTTTTTGGGGGGGAGGCGGGGGAACAAGAGAGAAACAGCAATGTGAGAGAGAAGGATCAATCAGTTGCTTCCCATATGTTCCCTGATCAGAGATCAAACCCCCAACTTTTTGTGTATGGGATGATGCTCCAACCGAGTCATCCAGACAGGGCTGAAATGATCCTTTATGATGAAGTAGAATGGACTTAACTGGTTCCTAAATAACTAATGTTACAAGAATGGAGGTTCAAAGTTAATTCTGGGTGGAAGGAACCTCATGGGAAGTTTCATTGAAGGGATGACCATTAAAATGAGCTTTCACAGTGAATCATTTTTAAAAAGCAGAAGAAAAGTAGAGGAAAGAATTCTAAGCTGAGGCACAAATATGCATGTTTTGTTTAGGAAATGGTCATATGAACATTATTGTGCTCAGGGATGTGAGTTGAGTTTGGACACGTTGATTGGGGACAATGTGATACAAGGATTTTGGAAGCTTACCTGGTTTTGAATTCCTTCTCTTTTGTTTGTTTTTTGTAGAGTTTACATACTTTTGAAAATTCCTCTGAGCCTCAGATTTCACATACAATAAAATGAAGATAATGTCTACCTTGTGTTTTGTTTTGTTTTTTGCCATAAATAATTATATTAAGTACCTGTGTATGTAGTGTATGTAGTGAGTGATGACAACTAGTGGGCTCATATTAATTTGTCCTAGATTGCTGAGGTCCCTGAATGCCTTCTTGAAGAGTTTAGATTGTTCTGATGCTTTAACTATATTCATTTTCTTGGTAAATGTTGGATTATTTTATTTGAGACAAAATATTCACTTTTATATCATTCTATTTATTTTTTTCTGCACAATTTGCTGTAGTCCCATTTGTCTATTTTGTTACTTATGCTTTTGGTGTAATATCCAAGAAATCTTTGTCAAAATCAATGTCATGAAGTTTTCCCCCTATACTTTTTTCTAAGAGTTTTATAATTTTGTGTTTTACTGTTAAGTCTTTAATGTAACATTAGTTCTTTCTTAAAGTGTTCATTATGTAACTGGGCAGGAAATAAGAAGTGTTTTCTTTAATATGACTACGTATGTCAAGAATTTGCTTTATTCAAACTGTCTTTCTTCCCTCCTTTTCTCCTTCCCTACCTCCTCCTCCTCTCCTTTTTCTTCTTCCTTCCCCTATAACTTGAAGATATGGAATTGTTTTGGGGGTATTAATTGCTGTGCTGATAGGATAATTCATTTTCAACAACACTTTCTTGTTTGTTATTTGATTAACAGGAAGAAAAATGAGCCTTAAGTCTGAACGCAGAGGAATTCATGTGGACCAATCAGAACTCCTATGCAAGAAAGGATGTGGTTACTATGGCAACCCTGCTTGGCAGGGCTTCTGTTCCAAATGCTGGAGGGAGGAGTACCACAAAGCCAGGCAGAAGCAGATTCAGGAGGATTGGGAACTGGCAGAGCGGTAAAAAGACTTAACCAGGGGTGGTTTTACAGTGATATAACTGGATACATAGTACTGTTATTGTCAGAATACATTTTTTCTCTTCTGTCTTGAGCTTTCAGCAAATCAGACTAATATTAAGAGAAAAAATTTTCCCCTCTTCTTCTCAGTCAGTATTCAATGAATAGCTTCAGTGCCTTCATTTTCTCTTTTGTCTTACCATTTAAGTATTTTGTGTTTGAAGTGTATGAGTTTCCTAATACAGACCATAACATTTGGGAGTAGAAGAATGGAGGTAAACATACTTCATGGTGGAGACTAAATGAGGAAATATTTATGATGTCCTTGGCACAGGACTTGGCATATGGCTCTCATCAAGCATTGTTTCCCCCCATTTTTTGTTATATCCAGCATGGCATCTGGCATATCACAAACATGTAGTATAACATATACAAATCAACAAATTTGTAGTTCTTGAATTATGAAAATTTAACTTTTCCAAAATGGGGTTTGTAGGTCGGAACTATTATTTGAGAAGTTTGTATTATCTAGAAATATGATTATGATAAAAATTGAAAGTGGCATAGCTGGTGAGCATAGGAACTAATAAAATGCCACAAATAATGTTAATTCTTTGCCAGAGCATACTTGAATCTGAAACTTCTCAGTAAAAGAAAGTCAAGCTGAACTCTGACCACTTTTGCTAGTTTTATACCTAATTAGCTACATTTTGAATGACCACTTTTCTGGTGAACTCACAGAATTATAAAGTACACTCACGCCTTTTGGTGACTTCATGGTCAATCAAAGAGAGAAAAAAAAAATAGAAGATTAACTATTCCTTCAGATTTCTCACTGTATTCCTGATATTCTCAGTAGCTGATCTATTTCATGAAGAAGTAGAGGACACTAAACATGAATGCTCTTAGCTTTCTCCCCTCTTCACTGCCAAATGTGCTATGTATATTACCTTCTGTTTTGTTTCAGAGAAAGCTGTATCCCTGTTCCATTCTCAGACTAACCACCTCTCCCTGTGATTTTGTTGCTGTTTCTTACTCCTTCCAATTGTAATTTTGCTTGAGGTTTCCCACAGGCATGAGAATCACCTGGATGGAAATCTTGTAAAAACAATATTGCTGGACTTCATTCCCAGAGTCTCTGACTTTATTAGGTTGGGAGTGAGGCCTGAATATTTGCTTTTATGACAAGTTTCTAAGTGATGCTGATGCTATTGTCTGGGGAATCACACTTTGAGAACCATTGTTCTATACATAGATTTTGAGGTTTATTATAAATACCTCAAATTCAACAGGTCTAAGGCCAAAATTAGTGCTTCTATTTACTCTAATCCCCATTTTCAACATTTTCTCCTCACCTCTTTCTGAATCAGTTAATGACATCACCATTAATTCATTTGGCTAAAAAACATTGGCATATTCTTAATTTCTCCTTCACCTCTCATACTATCTACAACTAATTGTGCAAATTCTACTAGCCAAGGTTTCTTACTATCTGATTGGTGCCTATATATTGGGTCGGCAGGTAAGTAATTGCGGATTTTTTAAAGAAAATCAAAGACAATTTTTTCATGGAACTAAATAACTTTATTCTGTAATGTATTGCCCATTTTGATCAATGACCTTTTGCCATCTTTCAGGCAGCATCATAATCCCACGTTCAAAAAACTTCTGGTTTTTATTAGCAAAAAACTGAATCAGGTACGATTTGACATCATCATCATTATTGAAATTTTTACCATTCAAGGAGTTTTGTAAAGATCGAAACAAAAAGTAATCAGATGGTGCAAGGTCAGGACTATATGGTGGATGTGGCAAAACATCCCAACCAAGCTCCATTAATTTTTGCCGAGTGACCAAAGATGTGTGTGGCCTTGCATTGTCATGATGGAATACAACACCTTTTCGATTTGTCAATTTGGGCCGCTTTTCTTCAACTGCATTGTTTAATTTCATTAGTTGTTCAATGTAGACATCAGAATTGATCGTTCGGTTGGGTGGTAAGAGTTCAAAGTAGACAATTCCTTTGTAATCCCACCAAACTGATAACAAAACCTTCTTTTGATGAATATCAGCTTTTGATGTTGTTTGAGTTGGTTCACCTGGCCTGCTCCACGATCTTTTCCGCTTGATATTGTTGTAAACAACCCATTTTTCATCCCCAGTTATCAGTCGTTTTAAAAATGGATCATTTTCATTACGTTTCTTTAGCAAATCGCAGCTGCTAATGCGTTGCGTTAACTGTGATTCTTTCAGTTCGTGAGGAACCCATGTATCGAGTTTTTGAACATAGCCAAGTTGTTTTAAGTGATTTTCAATGCATGTATGTGATACATGAAGCTTCTCTGCAATCTCACGTGTTGTACTGTGATAGTCTGAATTGATTATTGCTTTGATTAGGGCGTCATCAACTTCAACTGGACAACCAGAGCGTTTTTCATCTTTGAGTGAAAAATCACCAGAACGAAATTTGGCAAACCAATTTTGACACTGCCGTTCTTTTAAGGCTTCGTCACCATAAACAGCACATAACTTTTTATGAGCTTGCGATGCGTTTTTCCCTTTGTGGAAATAAAAAATCAAAATATGACGAAAATGTTCCTTTTGATTTTCCATTTTTCAACGAACGCCAAACAAAAACTACAAAACAGATCAAAAAACTTTTTTTACTGATTAACAGCTGAATAGCCAACTATCAAATAACAAAATGTGTTTTACATTTTTACTACGTCTGCAAACCTAAAAATTCAACTGAAGCCATATATGTGTGAAACCCGCAATTACTTACTTGCCGACCCAATACAAATAAGCCTCATATTTATCACTCCATCGGTACTCTGACTACACTTGGTTTGTAACAAGAACCTTATGCTTTCACATTTTGTAGCTCCTTTCCAGGATGCCTTTTGACTTGGTGGAATCTTATTCATCCTTTAAGACATATCTAAATGTCTTGGACTTCTCCACCAGATTTAGTTGTTCTTTCCTGTGTTCTCATAGCACTTGTGTCTTACTCTCTACTCTAGGAACTATTACATTATACCGTAATTATTTAGTTACCTTTTCCTTCTGTTTGACCTTCAGCTTATTAGGGAAAAGTACTGGACTTTCTTTTATGTATCCCTCGTACAGTTGCTGAATGAACATGATCTGTGGAGAAAGTCTCTTTTAAAGTATATAGTAATATGTAATATAGTTTCATGTCAGAAACTCCAGACCTATTATTTGGTGTATTTAGCCTCTAGTTCTAAAAATTTTAGACCCTCCTCAGTTCGTTGAGTAATAACCTTTAGATACAAGGAAAACTTGGAGAATATCTGGGTCATTAATCCTCTCTTAAATTACAGACTACAGCGAGAGGAAGAAGAGGCCTTTGCCAGCAGTCAGACCAGCCAAGGGGCTCAGTCCCTCACATTTTCCAAGTTTGAAGAAAAGAAAACCAATGAGAAGACTCGCAAGGTTACCACAGTGAAAAAGTTTTTTAGTGCTTCATCCAGGGTTGGATCAAAGAAGGGTAATTTTCTGATTCTCTTTTTTTCTTCTGTGCCTAAATGAAGTACAGAGTAGATCCACATACATGTAGGCTCAGCCTTTTAATTTCTGTAAAAGTTTTTAGAGACTATGAACTCAGATTTGAGGATCAGGTGATATATGAAATTGGGTTTGAGGGTCAGGCAATATATGAAACAAAAAATCTCTTTGGTTGTTTTTTTAGAGAAGCTTGTTTATTTACTCTAGGAGAAATAAAGAGAAATGAAATATGTAGTTTTCTTTGTAAAATTCATTCCCATCTAAATGGCTGTCTTTTTGGATGTTCTATTTTTTTTTTTTTTTTTTTTTTGAGCCTTTAATTTTTGGATCCTGGTTTATTCTCCTTTACGTGTTGTCCCTATCATTCATGTCTTATCAGAAATGGCTGTTTCTAGGCTTGAAGTCATCTAAAAAGGAAGTTTTCTGGGAGCTTGTCTGAGAGACAATATTTGAGGAAATATATGGAGAACATAAACAAAAGGACTCACTTTGGGCTTTTAGATTGGTGAACGTAACCCATAGTATGCATTTTCTAGTGCATGGATGTGTATGTACTTGACCTTAATTAATCATCCTATTTCTTAAAATGCCATATAAACCAGCAACAGGATTATCGTCAAAGTCACACTTGTTCTACCAGTGAGCAGTCTTGCAGGAAGCAAGAGAGAATGTCTGTTGTTAGGACTTGGTCTCTGAACATTTATGTTGGTGACCTTTGTGCAGTAAATTTAGAATAGTGAGGGATCGTGGGACCTAACACTGATGCTATCAGAAGAGCTCTTTTCTTGGGAGCCCCATCTCACTCCCAGCCCCTCAACTTGGGGTCGTTGGGATGAGGTTTTTGGCCTGCCTAAAGGCAGGGGAATGAATAACATCACTCCTTAAGATCTTTCTGGTCTTGAATTTAATGACTTATGTTTAGCTTTATTAAAGAAAGGTTGCTTATATCCAGAAATATACAGCATTTCTCTTAAAAATGAAAATCTTAAAATAATCTTTTAGTTCACATGATTAATTTGGAGAATAGTCAATACCCACTGGAGATTAAATTAAGAATATATTTGGCTCATGATTTATTTATTAGGAGGTAGTATACTAAGGTGGGTAAGAACATAAGCTTTAGAGTCAGCCTGGTTTGAGTCTCATCTTTTCGGTATACGGCTGTCTGACTCAGAGCAAGCTAATCTCTTTAAGCCTGTCTGTTCTGAAGGACAGTAATACTTACCATAGACATGTCTTTAGGTTAAATGAGTTGATGTATGTAAAGAGTTTAGCACAGTACCTGACACACATTGTAAGTCTATAGTAAGTGTTAATTATTTTCAGACATGCTGTTTTTCTGAGAGAGTAGTCTTTGCTAGTAGAGAGCTTAAGGGCATCGATCAAAGCCATTCTTTCCTATTTAGCTTAACTTCTGTTTTCCTGCTTTGGGAAAAGTCTCACTAATCTTATGAATTTACTAGAGGTCCAGCATGAAATTCGTGCATGGGTATGGTCTCTAGACCTGGTCTGCGATCAGGGCCATCTTCCCCGGCTGCCTGGAGCTGGCCCTGCCCCCTGCCGCCACCCACCCCTAGTTCCCCATTCTCCATTGGGTGATCTGAGACGGCTGGGGAAAGGGATCGAGAGGCGGTCAGCACGCCTCATAGTGACTGGTGGAGCGGTCATTCTGGTCATTCTGCCATTAGGGTCAATTTGCATATTACCCTTTTATTATATAGGATGATAGATAATGAAATGGCATATGACAGCAGATGAAATAGTACTGACTTTATAAAACCATCAGCTCTAACTGCCTCATTTTACAAATGACATGAAAGCTCATAAAAGTTATCTAATTTACCCAAAGTTATGAATTGATGTATTAGAGCTCAGGTCTCCTAATTCCTGGCTTAGTGTTTTTCCTTGAATTTGTGTGTGTGTGTGTGTGTGTGTGTGTGTGTGTGTGTGTTTACCTATATCTTCACCTGTATGTATAGACATTTGATGAGGTTTCTATTACTGAAGTGCATAATAATCATGTACAATCACTGATCAGCCTTGACAGTTTTAGAAAAATGTTCTAAGAGCTTCTGACAATGTGCATCATAGTATAGAAAGAAGATTGGTACTTTTAAAAGAAACAATTCCAAGTTATTTTTATTTTAAAAACCTTTACATGGCCCTAGCTGGTTTGGCTCAATGGATAGAGTGTAGGCCCTTGGACTGAAGGGTCCCGGATTTGATTCTGGTCAAGGGCATGTGACTCAGTTACAGGCTCAATCCCCTGCCCTAGTCAGGGTGCATGTAGGAGGCAACCAATCAATGTCTCTCTCTCACATCGATGTTTCTAACTCTCTATTCTCCCTTCCTCTCTGTAAAAAATTAATGAAATATATTTTTAAAAAAAAGAAAACCGAATGGTGGATAAATAATTATTAATCTCCACATAAACAAATTAGCCTTTTGCCAATTATTGGCAAGTAAAATGGGTTTGGAAAGATTGTCTAACATTTTATAAGTCATTTAAGTTTTTGTACTTATGATTATTTCACTTGGTTAGTTTTTTATTTTATTTATTTTTTTAAAATATATTTTAGTGATTTTTTTACAGAAAGGAAGGGAGAGAGATAGAGAGCTAGAAACGTCGATGAAAGAGAAACATCGACCAGCTGCCTCTTGCACACCCCCTGCCAGGGATGTGCCTGCAACCAAGGTACATGCCCTTGACCGGAATCGAACCCGGGACCTTTCAGTCCGCAGACCGACGCCCTACCACTGAGCCAAACCGGTTTCAGCTTACTTGGTTAGTTTTTTAAACTCATGCAAACCTTTGAGAAAGTTGTTCAAGACAGTGGTGCCATTTTAGTATTAATGATTAAATATATAAATCAAAGCATGATATATTTTGGCCAAGAAAATACAAATAAAGCAACTTTTGTTTGAATAGGGATATCTTTCACATCATGCAGGGTTTTTTTCTATTTGTATTTTTGCTTATAAAATAAATTTAGTTTAAGGAAAGTTGCCCAAATATTTAAACATAAAATAATTTAAAGTCAAGTTTAACTTTGATTAAGCATCATTTAAATAATCTTAAATTAGAAACTTAAAGTAATACCATGCATGGCTCTTCTGTATAATGAAACTTATTTTTAATTTTCCCAGCAGAAATTCAGGAAGCAAAAGCTCCCAGTCCTTCCATAAACCGGCAAACCAGCATGGAAACGGATAGAGTGTCTAAAGAGTTCATAGAATTTCTCAAGACCTTCCACAAGACAGGCCAAGAAATCTATAAGCAGACCAAGATGTTTTTGGAAGCAATGCATTACAAAAGGGTAGGTTGAGAGTGACTACTTAGAAACAGAGTTTTGGTTTGAGGAAGGGTCTTTGAGATCATTTAGCACAGCTTTGTCACTTTATACCTGAGAAAATTAAGACCCAGAGATATTAAGTTACCTAAGAAATGCCTCTGAACAAAGTTAAAACCTGACTCCCAGGCTAGTACTTTTCCACTGCAACTCAGTGGCGCTTAGATCATCTTTATGTGGAAAGTGTGACATCCAAGACACTTTTATAGTATACTTTAGCACTAAGCCTTCCTAACTTGTACCTTGTAAATAGTATAAACTACCATAGTTAGTAGACCTTGAGCTCTTAAGTAACAATTGTTAGATCAGTAGCAATCATTTTAGGGTATTTTTGTTTTTGTTTTGTTTTGTATTTTGATTTAAAATTTTCCACTTCTTGCTAAAGTAGAGAAGGAAACTCGTTTGGCTCAATGGATAGAGTGTCAGCCTGTGGACTGAAAGGTCCCAGGTTTGATTCTGGCCAAGGGCACATGCCTGGATTGTGGGCTCGATCCCCAGGAGAGGATGTGCAAGAGGCAGCCAATGATTCTCTCACATCATTGATGTTTCTATCTCTCTCTCCCTCTCTTTCTCTCTGAAATAAATTTTTTTAATTTTATTGATTTTTTACAGAGAGGAAGGGAGAGAGAGAGAGAGAGAGCTAGAAACATCGATGGGAGAGAAACATCGACCAGCTGCCTCCTGCACACCATTATGATGTCTGTTCCTTCCACACGTGGCACAACAACAATCATCCCCTCTCCTGACCCCACCAGGGCTTTAGGGCCCGGGCTGGGATGGGGAACCAGGGGTGGGTGGTGGTGAACATGGCCCCTTTCCCAAGGGGGTCAAGGGCCAGCTCCCTCCTAGGGGCCAGTGGCCAACCTCCTGCAGTCCCCCCCCTCCCCCCACAACCCCTGCACAAATTCGTGCACCGGACTCTAATATCCTATATAATAAAAGCCTAATATGCAAATCGACCTAGTGGCAGAATGACCATTTGGTGGGGGATAGGGCCTGTGAGCAGATAGCGCCAGGCCAGCCAAGGTGAGTACCAGTGGACAGAGGGAGGGGATAGTGATCAAGGGGCAGTGGTGACCTGCGTCGGCAGAGGATGATGGGGGGGGGCGGGACCAGCTGCTTACTGGCACCATCCCCCAATTGCCCTGCCGGTCGCCTCCTGCAGAGGTAGGCCACTGCCGGCGGTGGCAGTGGGGTGAAGAGGGGCAGGGCTGGCTGCTGCCGTTCCCTGATCAGCCCGCTGGTCACCTTCCACAGAGAGAGGCCAGGCTGTGAGAGGTTGCAGGCCAGGCTGAGGGACCCCCCTGAGTGCACGAATTTTTGTGTGCTGGGCTTCTAGTATACCATATAAAGCAGTGAAATAAACCAGGATTCCAGAAGTGGATTCAGTTTCTCAGGAGCACATTATGAGACAACCAGAAAACAAAGGAGAACAGAGTTGCTTTTTACTAATTGCTCCTAAAAAAGACAGGAAGCTTATTTACAGATTATTTAAGGTCTTGTGTCTCATACTATTCACCTTACATTCTAGCCAAATAAAAGACTTAAATATGAAACAACTTAGCTAAAATTGAACTGTTGAAGAATTATTCATAATTGCCGAAGCTAGTTTGGCTCAGTGGTAGAGCGTTGGTCTGCGGACTGAGAGGTCCCAGGTTCGATTCCGGTCGGGGGCATATACCTTGGTTGCGGGCACATCTGGAGGGGTGTGCAGGAGGCAGCTGGTCGATGTTTCTCCCTCATCGACGTTTCTAGCTCTTTATCTCTCTTCCTTTCTCTCTGTTAAAAATCAATAAAATAAAATAAAAAAAGAATTGTTCATAATAACCAGGTGAAATGAAGAATGCTATTAACTTTCAAACATCTGTGCAATGAAAAATTAAAGTTAGGTAAAGTGGAAGGAAACAGTGGGAAATTGTGGTGAATATAAATAAAAGTTTAACATTACAAAATGTATAAAATTTACTAAGGTAGTACCTAGTTCTTACTAGACAATTCTAATTCAACCAAATGACTCTTATGTCAATAACAAACCAAGCCAGTAAAGAACTGTCGTCAAGGTAGTCAGAGTGCTGCAAATGCTGTGAGACATTTTTTTATTATTAATAAAGGAATGAGAGACAGTATTTTAGAGGAGATAAGGTGTGAACTGAGCCTTAAAGGCAGTAACTATTGGGGATTTTCTTGGGCAGCTTTTGAAGGCAGCATCTGTCTAATGGAGATTTGAGGCACAATCTAGCATGATCAGTTGGACTGTGGTATGTTAAAGATGGATTGAAACGTGAGAGATGAAAGGTGGGGAGAGCAGCTAAACAGGTGAATGGTAATGAAGGCCCAGACCAGGAAAGAATGAAAAGGAGAGACATGGTAAAGCAGATAAGTCAGGTTTGGTCACTGTCCCTGACACCAGGACATCCTTTCTGAAATAAGCCAGAGCATCAGGGTCCTCATGCTGTACCAGAGCTTCGTTAGCCCTGGTGTATGTCGTCCTGGGCCTGTGCAGGGCAGTCTGTGAGAAAGAGTTGTATGGAATTTGCCTTTCTACGGTGAGATCTTTATGAGAACCCTTGAGAGAAGTTTCTAATTTTGGTGTCAGAATTTCACCTAAAAAATTAGTTTGTTTCTATATGTTGGACTCTTAATTATGTGACTATTTTCATCTTAGTGATGATTGCTAGAAAGTTGAAAGACAAATTTATGGATTGACTGTTGATTAAGTTTTGTATCTTCAAGGAATACATTTTTGTGTTGTCATTCCTGGCTCACTTTCTGTTTCTCTCCATGTTTTGTTTTTCTTTTTCTTTTTTTTAATCGCCTTCCAGCTTATTCTGGTGAACTATGTTTATCTTTTATGTAGACTTCATATATTCTTTGGGAGAAAGTGGGACACACACACACACACACACACACACACACACACACACACATATATATATATATATATATATATATATATATATATATTTTTTTTTTTTTTTTTTTTTTTTCAGTGCCTCCTGAAAGAGTTGAGAAGATGTTATATTTTAGGATGTACTTAGCATACATTTACATTTGAGAAATCTATCCCATGTATATACTTGGGAGAGATCTCTAAGGTTTTATAGTAAACCTCAGAATAGTGAAATTTCCATCAGTCTGGGAATTTAAAGTGCTTTTCTAAACCCTAACCCTAACCCTAACCCTAATATATATATTTACACCTAAAAATCAGTAAAACCAAATAAAAATTAATGACGCGCAATGTAGAGGTCATGGAGGAATAAGCACACGTACATGGCTGATGACTGTACATTGCAGTTTCTGAGGATTATATCTAGTGATAGATACTCAAAGCTATCTTAGAAACTATTAGTTTCTTTTGAAAATGTATCGCAAAGAAATAACCCAAAAGAAACAGCTTTCACATAATTGTTTATAGCTATAGTACATAGGAGTTTAAAGGGGGAAGGAACCCAAATGCACAGTAGTAGAGCATGGTCTAAAAAATTAGTTACTATAATAAAGCCATCAAAAAATGGTTAAGTAGGTTACGTAAATAGAAATGTACATAAACATGTAAATTATCAAAATATGCATTATACTCATTTAATAAAATATATAGTAAAAGGAAATAAGTCATAGAGTATTATTATTAATATTTAGGAATAGGCTTTTCTCCCCTGCACAGTTAATATAATTTGTGAGTACTTTTGAGATTGGTACCAGATAAAGGAGTGGGTTCGGAGACTATATAAAATTTAAAGTTTTACTCCTGATCTTTCTTCAGCTACCAAGCAGCCTCTTTGTCCCTTTGTTTTAGGATTTAAGCATAGAGGAACAGTCAGAGTGCACTCAGGATTTTTACCAGAATGTGGCTGAAAGAATGCAGACTCGTGGGAAAGGTAATACTTTGCTACCCAGCCCAAATTGAGGGATTGCTGGTGGTTGCACAGGGCCAGACTGCTGGATCTCTTAGCAGTTTCTCTCTTTCTCTAAAGGCCTGGCTGGCGTGCCCAACCCCAGCATTTTGGTAGCTGATCTTATACTTAGGAGTGCCATTGAATACCACCATATGAACTGTTTCAAGATATCAAAGCAATAGAGTAATTTATGAACAAGGTTTAATAACTTCATTAAGGGTTGGGGCAGAGCTTATTGAAACTCTGGGAGGCTTCTAAATGAAACCCTCATTTTGAAATTACCATGTTGATGAGTTATTTGGTCATGATTATATATTTCTTATAGGTTAAGGCAGGAGAAAATTGAGAACCACTGATTTACTTTAGGTGTATAGAAATTCTTCTTGAATTTAACTTCCATTGATGTTATATTTTAGGATGTACTTAGCATACATTTACATTTGAGAAATCTATCCCATGTATATACTTGGGAGAGATCTCTAAGGTTTTATAGTAAACCTCAGAATAGTGAAATTTCCATCAGTCTGAGAATTTAAAGTGCTTTTCTAAATGTAGCAATAGAGAGGGACCCATGCTGAGTCTTCCCACTTGGGTGTGAGGAAGACCTAACACCTGGTAGGTTTTGCCAAAACAGCTTAAGTTAGAAGTGGGGATTATGTAAAAGGCAGTCCCAAAAGTCAGATAAAAATTTTAAAGGTATATTTCAACGTAACACCTCATACTTTTCTTTTTGGGTGTGTTTAATGTATTTTTAGAAAGTTAGTTTTCTGCTATGTAGCAAGTACTATGAAAATAATTCTTAATTTTAAATGTCTTTCCTCATCTTGGGCTTTTATTTCCACTTGGATATTTCAGTGCCTCCTGAAAGAGTTGAGAAGATAATGGATCAGATTGAAAAGTACATCATGACTCGTCTCTATAAGTATGTGTTCTGTCCAGAAACTACTGATGATGAGAAGAAAGATCTTGCTGTTCAGAAGAGGATCAGGTAGTTGATTGCTTTGCTTTGTATTGTTGTATAGTAATCCCCCTTATCTGCAGGGGATTTGTTCTAAAACCCCAAGTGGAAACCTGAAACTGCAGATAGTGCTGAACCCTATATGTACTTTCCCCTCCTATGCACATATACCTATGATAAAGTTTAATTTATAAATTAGGCAAATCAAGAGATTAACAACAATAACGAATAAAGTAGAAGAATTACAATGTACTGTAATAAAGTTATTTGGTCTTTCTCTCTCCCAATATATCTTACTTAGTTGAGAACTTCCACCTTTTCACTTAAAGGAAGAACTTCATGGCTTCTCTTTGGCATATTTCAATTACCAGCATCACTACTCTTGCACTATGGGGTCATTATTAAGTAAAATAAGGTTCACTTGAACACAGGCACTGTGATACTGTGACAGTCGATCTCATAACTGAGATAGTTACTGAGTGACTATACTACATGACCAGTGGACAGGTAGAGTATACAGTGTAGATATGTTGGACAAAGGGATGATTCACACCTCGAATGGGACTGCAAGGTTTTATCACACAGAACAGCAATTTAAAACATGAATTATTTATTTCTGGAGTTTTCCACTTAGTATTTTCGAACCGCAGTTACTATGGGTAATTGAAACAGAGGAAAGCGAAACTGTGAACAAGGAGGGATTTAATTTGCCATTGTTTTTACTACCAACTACTGGGAGACCACATTGTAGGAAAACAGGACATTTGAATTTCAGACCTTGAGAGCAAGCTAAGATGCCTGCCATCCTTAGCATATGAGCTTCTTTGTGGGGTCAGAAAGAAAAGAATATGGTACATTGATAGGAGGAAAGAGCTCGAGGCACCATTTTGCTTATCCATCTGACTTCCAGCAGTTTTAGGTAAGAATCATTTTTTATGTTTCTGATTTTTTAAAACATCCAAATTTTCTAAGGAGGAAATGTCATTATTTTCTCATTTCATTGTACTAACTATCTTATCAAGTAGGAAGCTGTAAATATCCATATCAATGTGATGGGTATCATTTTTTTTCTCATCTCTACCAGTGGTGCTCATTATTCAGCCATTCCTCCAATCACATCTTTCCGCTAGCACTGGATAGATAATACTGGGCAGCACATCCGGTCTTTCATGACCAATGGAGTGAGCCTCAGTGCTCTTCATTCCAATGGCAGTGAAACACTGAGAATAGGCTATCAAATTTGGGAACCACACAAAGCTTGATGAGGTGTTTCTGGAGGAGAGGAGCCAAGCAATTTCAAATGGAATTCCTAGACAGTGAGGCTGATGATTGATGGGTCAGTACTTTCTGGTGTCACACTAGAAATAAGAAGTTGATCTTGGGAAGATAGAAGATAGACCTAAATGGGCTTTTGACTGAAATTCAAGTAAATGGTGGGGGGTAAGCAACACAGTCTCTGGAGTGAAGTGCGATGTGATGGGAGAACCAGTGATTCAGGCTGAGGTGACATGTGCTTCTTGATCTCTTACACAAGCCCCGGTATGCTCCAGAAGTTGAGGGCAGAGCCTACAAGGACATTAGTGGTGGTGTACAAGACAGGGAGCAGCAGGTTCTTCTCAAGTATTTATTCTCAGATATCTAGTGCTTTCAGACAGTATAATCTCATCACAACCAGTAAAATGTTCTTTTGCTTTTCTTGTGATAAGTGCAGAAGAGAAGTCTCACTTTAGGGTCCTGGTTACCTGACACATCAGCTGAGCTTCTGGTCTGTGCAGGGGTGATGTGGTTGGGCCTAGAATTGCCCTATTAATCAGTGGTGTCCCTTATTTTCTTGTAACTGATGGAAATCATAAGATAAATGGCTATAGTTCATTCTTTTTTTTATCTGTTTGTTTTTTGTTAATCCTCACCCAAGGATATTTTTCCATTGATTTTTATAGAGAGATTGGAAGGGAGGGGATTGACAGAGTGTGAGAGAGAGAGAGAAACGTTGATGTGATAAAGACACATCAATTGGTTGCTTCCTGCACACATCCCGACCAGGGTCAGGGATCAAGTCTACAACCAAGGTATGTAGACTGGAATAGAATCTGAGACCCTTCAGTCCTTGGGTCAATGCTTTAACTAATTGACCAGACTAAAAAGTCCATTCTTTAAACGTTTTTTTACTGTCTGTCTTTCTTGTAGAGCCCTGCACTGGGTTACACCTCAGATGCTTTGTGTCCCTGTTAATGAAGAAATTCCCGAAGTGTCTGATATGGTGGTGAAAGCAATTACAGGTCAGTGAAACGTGTGTGTGTGTGTGTGTGTGTGTGTGTGTGTGTGTATTTGGATATTTTCCCCTTGAAGTTAACATTATGTTCTAAAAACCCATACTTATTTCAGTTGAACAAAAAAATAGTAAAGTATTTCTAAAATTCAGATTGCAATGATATATTGGAATGTGGTAAGAATGATTTTCAGGAGTATTAGTTTTATGAATTGAAAGCATTCTGATTAGCAGGTAAATTACTTTTCCCCTTCACTTTTCTTGATCCAGGATCCTTATTTCTTGGATATTGAACTAAACTAAGATCAAATACAGATAAATTTTTTAAAACTCAGTTGCATTAATTCTTTTTTAAAATATTTTTATTGATTTCAGAAAAGAAGGGAGAGGGATAGAGAGAGAAACACCAATGATGAGAATCATTGATTGGCTGCCTCCTGCACGCCCCCTACTGGGGATGGAGCCTGCAACCCAGGCATCTGCCATGACCAGGAATTGAACCACAACCTCCTGGTTCATAGGACAATGTTCAACACTGAGCTGGGCTCATTTGCATTTATATAGTCAAAGTAAGTTTGGAGAGAGGGAGGTAATTGGTGAGGCAAGGTCATACCCAAATTAGAGTTACATATTAAAATGATGCTTCTAATTGGTTGTTAATCAGAGATATGCTTTGAATTACTTTTCTGGTTTGTTCAGAAAGTATATGAAATGCCCTATATTGATGGTTCTGCCATTTCTGGATAGGTCTAGGCACCTAATAGGGTTTCTGTTTCTTAGTCATAGGAATAACGAGTAGTGTGCAACACAAACATTTAAAAACAAACAAGAAACAAAAAACTCCTAAAGGAAAAGACATCCAACCTTGGACAACTTCTCCTTAATTAGGAAGAGTTGGAAAGATTTGCTCACTCAAGATTGTTAATGAAATTCTGCCGGGAAGGAAAGTAGGCCAGTTGCCGGTAGCGGTGTTGGAGGCAGGCTCTGAAGTAGCTGGCTCCTTTGGTTATAAGAACCAGAGACTCCCTCAAGTAACAAGAAGAAATGGGGGTTTGCTTAAGATACGTATTATGAGGGTTGGAAGGGCGGCAGGACTTAGAAACAGCTCCAAGGCCTCTCTAGAGACTGGGTTATCTACTGTTAACACGATTCTTTCCCACTTTCTCAGGTTCTGCTTATCTTTGCATTTTAATTCCTGTTATTACATGAATTGTTGTTTCTAACTCCCCATTAAGAGTCTAAATGACATAGCTAAATGCTGTAATCTTTGTTCAAAGCCTTTCTGCTAGGCTATGTCATAGGTCCAGTGAATTGAGTTCTTTGGGTCAAGGCCTACTTTTTGCTCAGGGAACATTATAAGAGATTGAAGGTAACAGCCTCTCAAAAGCCTGAATATGCACCTTTTAGACTTTTACCAAGTTCAAGACCAACTGGTTTATGTTTAAATATTTTTTAAAATATATTTTATTGATTTTTTACAGAGAGAAAGAGAGAGGGATAGAGAGTTAGAAATATCCATGAGAGAGAATCATCAATCAGCTGCCTCTTGCACACCCCCTACTGGGAGGAGCCATTCCGCTCCCTGTAAAGCCTGGTCCCCCTGGTCCAACCATGCATGGTACATGCCCTTGACCGGAATCAAACCCGGGACCTTTCAGTCCGCAGGCTGACACTATCTACTGAGCCAAACCGGTTTCGGCATGGTTTATGTTTAAAGTACTCCATAGGAATTTATGTTGAGAACACTTTTCTGAAAAGTCACAGGACAGACCTTTGCAAAACCAGAAACTGCAAGTACCCAACTGTTGTTTACTTAAAAATAGAACTAAGAAAGAGGATTTCAATACATCAACCATTTGTTAATAGAATTTAAGAGGTAAAATATTTCTTCAAGACACTTGAGATGATGTTTCAAGAGATCTTTTGATAGTACAAATTCAGCCACAAAATTGTAAACACCTCTTACTCTTTCTCATTGTAGCCCAGATATCTTGCCAATCCAAGTGCAATATTCTGCCTCTTTGAGAACCAAAGATTATATAATAACTTCCTTCCTAAACGTTAAAATTGTCAGTGTAAGTACAGGAGTATTTATAGGACAGTCTATAATAGTCATCCTTTTTAAAAATAATACTGTTCTTAAATATAGAGATACCAGTTCAGTTTCTCCAAATCATCCTGTGTGCTACTAATCAGCACTATCATTTTTGTTTATAAATACACTGCATGGGGCATTTTCCATTTTAGTTGACATCTGGCTTCCAGTGGGTGAAAGCCAGGGATGCTACTAAACATCCTGCAGTGCACGGGACAATCCTGCAACATGGACTTTTCCAACCCAAATGTCAAACATAACCTAGAAGTACAGACTACTTTGTTTCAAAACTCCATTAAAGATAAGTCTAGACATCTGCTAAGATTGAGGATGCATGCTCAACCCTACCTTTCCTACTGATTAGAAGTAAAAACCAGGGACAAGAGACCCAAGCAAGAACTCTGAAAAGCAGGCAGATTGGGGAGGGAAATCATTACTAGAAGAACAGCTACGCCAAAACTGGTTTGGCTCAGTGGATAGAGTGTCGGCCTGTGGACTGAGGGGGTCCCAGGTTCAATTCTGGTCAAGAGCATGTACCTTGGTTGCGGGCACATACCCAGTAGTAGGTGTGCAAGAGGCAGCTGATCGATGTTTCTCTCTCATCAATGTTTCTAACTCTCTATCCCTCTCCCTTCCTCTCTGTAAAAAAATCAATAAAATATATTTTTTAAAAAGGGGAAAAAAGAAGAACAGCTAATACAATGACTAGTTTCCTGTTTTGTTTTTTTTTTTCCTCCTGCATCTCCTAATTTAGACTTTAGGACAGTGTAAATCATGGAGCTGCATGTTGGGTTGTTGCAGTCCAAAAGAGTCCAACTAAGAAACTTCTTTTAAGCTGAGTGATACTCAGAGAGGAGATGGAGGGGTTGCTGCAGGATGAAGAGAGTGGGAGAAATCCCCCCATTATGCTCTCTTCTTTACACTTGTGGCCCTGTCCCTTGGCAGTGGCAATTACACATGCATCCAGATAAAAAAAATAATTCATTTTTATTTACTTTAAAACATAAACAATAAAAATTAATAAGAAAATAATTTAAAATAGAGAATAAAAATCAAGAACAAAAGGCTTTGAAAGTATAAAAAAATCTTCCCCAGGTATCTTTTTTGTAATAAGTTCTATTTAAATGCAAAAAGAAAAATAGACTGAGACATATATTATAATCCAGAAATAAAAAAGTAAAGGAACTAATTATAAAAAAGTGAAGATTATATACTTCACAATATAGGTGCATAAGTAAAGAGAATAAAAGCATTAGTAAGTTAACATAAGGCCTCTGCACTGTCCAGTGTTTCTGTCTCTGACACATGGTTAATGGTCCTGTGAGGGTCCCTCAAGTAGCTTACTTTACGGATAGGAATTGAGCAAAAAGAACTCTCTGGCCCGTACCATCATGTCACCTAAATCTGAAACTTTTATTTCTGCTCATGGCAAGAACTGGTATCAAATTCAGCTGCCTCAGCTGTTTACTTTGATAATATTTCAGATGGCAAGCATATATGTGCATCCAAAGGCACACTTCCTTCCCTGGCTTGCATTGTTCTGGCACTGAGTTTGTACCTAACTTTTCTTCACCATCTCCTAGTCCTCTGACAAATGGGTGTGTACATATAAGAGTCCACCAGTTGGCCCTAACTGGTTTGACTCAGTAGATAGAGTGCCAACCTTCTGCTGACTGAAGGGTCCCAGGTTCGATTCCAGACAAGGGCACGTGCCTGGGTTGCGGGCTATTCCCCAATGTGTTGGGCATGCAGGAGGCAGCCTCTCTCTCATCACTGATGTTTCTCTCTCTCTCTCTCTCTCTCTCTCCCTTTCCCTTCCTCTCTGAAATCAATAAAAATATATTAAAAACAGAAAAGAGCCCACCAGTTGGACTTAGTGGTAGTAAAGGGCAGTGAAGCAATTTTTTTCTGGAGAAATATGCTTTGTATAATAGCCACATTGCTAAACAGCAGTATGCAAATTGAGGATTTCTAAATGAGTTTTACAATACATTAAGAAGCAGTTAAGAGACTTATTTCTCCATGGAACTCATGAGGTGTTTTACATCAGGATTAAAAGAATGACAATTAGAGTCAGTCTTGGTTTCAAATCCCCCCTCTGTTACTTGCAAAATCAATTAAAAATATTTTTTAAAAAGTACCACTTGCATCATCTGAGGATTAAAAGAAATTTGTAGTGCTAGGTCATGGTCACGTGTTCTATTTTAGTAAGTATGAGCTGGTATTTACTGTTTGTTCGATCTAAGTATGTATGTGTGTATTTATTTATTTATTTTTGTTAATCCTTGCCCAGTAATATTTTTCCCATCTTTAAGGAGAGTGAAAGGGATGGGAAAAGAGGGAGAGAGAGAAATGTCAGTGTGAGACAGACACATCAATTGGTTGCCTCCTACAACACCCCAACCAGGGCCAAGGATTGAGCCTGCAACCAAGGTATGTGCCCTTGACCAAAATCAAATTCAAGACCTTTCAGTTCTCGGGCAAACACTAACCACTGAGTAAAACCAGCTACAACGAGTTTAAGTTTTATTTTTTTATCACCCCCTCTCCCCACACCACACCCTGATTTAAGTTTTATATACACTAAGGTAACTGGTGGAAATGGGATTAGTGAGGTTACCTCACCAACTTAATAGGATAAAATGATTATCCTAATGCTTCTTTCATGTAATTATTTTCTCATTGGAAGCACTGTGTTTTCTGTTTTACAGATATTATTGAAATGGATTCAAAGCGTGTACCTAGAGATAAGTTGGCCTGCATCACCAAGTGCAGCAAGCATATCTTCAATGCCATCAAGGTCACCAAGGATGAGCCAGCTTCAGCCGATGACTTCTTACCCACTCTCATCTACATTGTTTTGAAGGGTAATCCTCCACGCCTTCAGTCTAATATTCAGTATATCACCCGCTTCTGCAACCCAAGCCGATTAATGTCTGGAGAGGATGGCTACTATTTCACCAATTTGGTGAGTATTTGTCATTTCTTGGTGTTATGGAGAAGAACCATGAAGGTGTTGAATTTAGGGATATGACTAGTCACTCATAGGCCTGTGACATATTAATTGCTCCTGAGTTTAGGAGTCAACAAACTGCAGATGTTTGCTTGGTGCACAGAGCATAGGTGATCAGACCATGCAAATACCTCACTTCCCAATACTTGACCAGAGATTATAGTGCTTGTATGGAAACGTGATAACCACAGTGAGGAGTCTCCTGCTTTTGGCCATCACGCGCCAGGGCCCTGGATGTAAGAGCCATTCACTTAGCGGCTTGTTTCAAGCATGAGTAAATCAGATCCTAGACTTTGATTCCTTTATTAAAAGATTTATTTTTTGTTGTATTTCTACAAGTTACCTCTTAGAACTGAATACTAAGATATTTTAAGAAAGGGTCAGTTTAGAGAATGTGAAATGATTTTCAACTATTGTTTTTGCTACAGTGCTAATTAATTCTAGGCAAGACAAGATTGAAAAAAAAAATATATATATATATATACACATATATGTTATAAGGCATAATAATTCCTTTTACTGACCACTAAACTTCTGCTTGTTTGCAAGATATACTGTCAAACAATGAATTTGAACCTCAGCACCATAAGTGCTTTGTTTCCTGTTCTGGAAGTTGTACAAAATAATAGGTAGGGAAAAGAAGCCAGGATAACAAATCTCTAAGCCTCCCAAAATTTGATGAGATTTATTTTTATACTAGAGGGCTGGTGCACAAAATTCGTGCAAGGGTAGGGCCCCTAGGCCTGGCCGCCAGATCAGGGCTGATCAGGGCCTTCCAGCTAGCAACCAGGGCATTCCTTCTTTCCAGCGCCACCTCCTGGTGGTTAATGCACATCATAGCAAGTGATTGGTCAACTCCCATATGGACAACTTGCATATTAGGCTTTCAGATATATAGATATGCATTCACTTTTGCACCTAATTTTATGTTCGTCTTTTATTTATTTTCTTTTAAATGAGTTCCCAAAAGCGTATAAGCTTCAGGTCCTTCAAAACCTGGATTGCCCTTGTTATGCATCACCCTCAACCACTGTGTTCCTCCACCTGTCGCTGTAGTGCCAGCATCTGGGAAGTGTGGTTTGCAAGTGGAGGGATTTGGGACTACTTTTTCAAAATGATGCTTGCTCCCTTATTTATTTCTTAAAATAAAGGAAGCATGCACTTAACTACTAGAGAAGAAATCCTTTTGGAGTCAGTTGTTATCTAGAGAGGATTAGATGATCTGAAAATCCCGAGAAGACTAGAGATGGTGAGACATGGTAGTAGGAGAAATGAAGCAAGACCAGGAGGTATTTGAGGGGCCTTCATTGATGAAAATGGAGGCTGCTGGTTCACCCATGATCTGCAGCTTCCCAGTGCCTTGACCTACACCCTTAACTATGTTTGCACCTTCTTTCTTCATCCGGTTCTTGCTGAACTCAGAGTTGGCTTCTATGCTCACTTTTCCAATAAAAATGCTTTATATCTCTTGGCTTCTACAATTCCACCCATTCTTGTCTTTTTGTAGGCTTTGTGTCCTCTACTTCCTCTTGATTTGTGTCACTCCCTGGGGTTCTTTCTTCTGTGCATTTCTCCCTAGGCTGTCTCCTCTGGTCACAGCTCTGCTGGTCACATGTACAGTGATGACCTACAGGTTTGTGTCACCTGTTTTGACCTCATGCTGAACTCCACTTCCAGCTATTGTTGTGCCTCAGATTTCATTTGTTCAAAACCGAAACTGCTTCCCAATCAGATGTCTTTTTTCTTTTCTGTATACAGTTGATCCTTGAACAATATGGGTTTGAACTTCACAGGTCTGTTTATACTGCAGATTTTTTCAATAAATACTGTATTTTCTCTTCCTGATAGTTTTATTTTTTAAAAAATATTTATTTTTTATTGATTTCAGAGAGGAAGGGAGAGGAAGAAAGAGATAGAAACATCAATGATGAGAGAGAACCATTGATTGGCTGTCTCCTGCACACCCCACACTGGGAATCAAGCTCGCAACTAGGCATGAGCCCTTGACCAGAACTGAACCCAGGGCCCTTCAGTCTGCAGCCCAATGCTCTATCCACTGAGCCAAACCAGCCAGGGCTGATTTTTTTTTTTAATTTTTAATTGTGTTTTCATTTATTTTAAAAAGAGAGGAAGAGAGAGGGATAGAAAGATAGAAACAGTGTTGAAAGAGAAACATCATTGGTCGGCTACTTCTGCAATGTCTCCTATTGGGGATCAAGCCTACAACCCAGGCATGTGCCCTCACTGGGAACAGATCCAGTCACTTTGGTACAGTACTCAGTACATATAACACAAAATATTTATCAATTACTGTTTATGTTATGAATAAGGCATCCTGTCAACAGTAGGCTATTAATAGTTAACTTTTGAGGGTGTCAAAAGTTATATTGGGTTCAATTCCTGCTTGAGAGGTATACAAAATGTTACAGAAAACTGGTGAAGAACCAAGCAATACTTAGAAAGATGGAGTTACATTTATTACGCCTGGGTCCAGAGGAAAATGTCTCTCAAATTCTGGGCCCCAACATGGAGGAATTTTTCCTATTTATATGTTTTTACCTTTTTTTTCCTCCCAAATATGGGATGTTTCTGGCCCCCTTTGCAAGTTCTTAAAGAGCCCCTATGTGCTGGGGCCTTGAGACCTCAACCAAAAGGCCTGGCCTGGTGCCAGCACTGATAATTTCGTCCGGAGAAGGTTAATGACCTCTCTGGAATGGGAATAGTCTTATTTTCCTTATTATTTAAGCAAGCAAGCATTTACAGAAGCCAAATAGCAGGGTTAAAATTTCATGCAACAGTTTTTATATAAGATGGATGCTTCAGAAAGGCAACCGACCGATATCTCTTTCTCTCTCCCCCTTCCTCTGTTTCTAAAAATCAGTAAAAATATATCATTGGCTGAGGTTTTTTTTTTTTTTTTTTTTTTTTTTTTTTTTTTTTTTACAGATTTGGGTGAGGATTTTTATAAAAATATCTTTTTTAAAAATGCAAAAATGGCCGAGACCGGTTTGGCTCAATGGATAGAGCGTCGGCTTGGGAACTGAAGGGACCCGGGTTCGATTCCGGTCAAGGGCATGTACCTTGGTTGCAGGCATATCCCCAGTGGGGGGTGTGCAGGAGGCAACTGATCGATGACTCTCTCTCATCGATGTTTCTAACTCTCTATCTCTCTCCCTTCCTCTCTGTACAAAATCAATAAAATATATTTTTAAAAAAATGCAAAAATGGTACGTGCTCATTGTAGAAAAATTTAATCAATATAAGAATGTGTAATTGACAGAAGTCTGTTTCACTGAGTATTTATCCTAGCATTTCTATGCTAATAATTGTTGCCATTTATTCATTGCTTACTACAGATCTATGAGCTAAGCACATTACATGTGTTATGGTGTTTAATTCTCACAGTAAATCTGGTATTTTCCCCATTTTACTCATGTGGAAACCTCACAGAGCCTAGGTAATTTTCCTAGGATCACACAACCCATGACTGTCATGTGACAGAGCTAACAGCTCAGGTTGTCTGGTTTTAAAACTTACACTTTTGCCCTGGCCAGTTTGGCTCAGTGGATAGAGCATCAGCCCACAGATTGAAGGGCCTTGGGTTCGATTCTGATCAAGGGTGTGTACCTAAGTTGTGGGTTTGATCCTCCCAGGACTCCCCTTTCCCTGCAAGTGTGCGGGAGGCAACTGGTCAATGTTTCTTTCTCTGTCTCTCCCCCTCCCACTCTCTAAAAATCAAAAGAAAAATATCCTCTGGTGAGGATTAGCCAAAAAACAAAACAAAAAACTTCTCCTTTAACCATGTGATTTAAAATACCTCTTTAGGTGCCACAGGGGTCCCTGAGGACACTCCCAATGTCTGGCCATGTCCAAGTAGGCCTTGTGGGCAAGACCCTAAAACGAAAAGATTTTATGGAGTGTGCCCCCAGGTACTTGTCCCTGGAGCTCCCGTCCTCAACAAGAATTCCTCTGCCCTACATCTGCGGAGAAGCAGAAAGCCCCAACTCCAAGGGATCATTCGGGTTTTGTCTGGAGGAAGCTCTGTAGCCGCCACAGTGGAACCAACATTGCGGTTGCCTCCTCAGTACTTCACTCTGTTCAGGACGTTAGCATCTTTGAATGACCTAAGAAGAGAACTGAATTTCTGACAGGCTCAATGGGAGTTGGCAATTCAATTTAATTGTTTCTTGCTTTTTAAAAGAAGAAATGTATTGTTTTAGATGAGAGCATAAAGGAAACATGATCGGCTATGTATAGATAATTTTTGAAGCTGAAGTCCATGGAGGTTCATTAGACTGTTTTGTCTACTTTTGCTTCAGTTTTAAATTCTCCATAATGAAAAGATGTTTAAAAATCTAATATCTGTGGCTTTGCTTATATGATTATAATAACATTCTCTTCTTTTCGTAGTGCTGTGCTGTGACTTTCATTGAGAAGTTAGACGCTCAGTCTTTAAATTTAAGTCAGGAAGACTTTGATCGATACATGTCTGGCCAGACTTCTCCCAGAAAGCAAGAATCTGAGAATTGGTCTCCTGACGCTTGTTTAGGTGTTAAGCAAATGTATAAGAACTTGGATCTCCTGTCTCAATTGAATGAACGGCAGGAAAGGATTATGAATGAAGCCAAGAAACTTGAAAAAGACCTAATAGATTGGACAGATGGAATTGCAAAAAAGGTTCAAGACATTGTTGAGAAATGTCCACTTGAAATTAAGCCCCCAAATCAATCTTTAGCAGCTATTGACTCTGAAAATGTTGAAAATGATAAACTTCCTCCACCATTGCAACCTCAAGTTTATGCAGGATGATAAAAATTTACAGATAGTATTTATTTGAGCCTAAATTGTAGCTAGTCCTTACTACAGTCCACTGATTGAGGTATAGAATATAACTTAATTGCTTCTAAGTGTCAGAACATTTTTCAAGGTACAGTTTGTGGGGATTGTTTTTGTTTTGTTTTCCTGTCAGAGGAAATTTAGTAAATAATAAAGTACTATTTATTTGAGTTACTGAAATAGATTCATTTAAGGCTTGTGTGAAATTTTTGTCTAAATGTATTTTTCTCCACGATTTTCCTATGTGCTTCCACGTGGTATTCAATGTGGTTTAGATTTGGGTAAATAATTGCCTCTTAAAGGGTAAAACATGAATGCTACAAAATGTATGTTTAAGGGAATTCAATGGTACCACTATTCTATAATTTAAAATAATTTTATAATTGTAAAGATAGAAGATATATTGATAAGTAAGTATATAAAATTGTAAATATGTAAAAAAAGGAATGGTGTGTGCTGTGCATGGCATTTCATGTTCATTTTTTGGGTTTAAAATATTGTATTGAATGTTTGCCTTTAATACCATTTTACTTGGTTTGCGCCACTGAAGTGAATGTAAAAGTTTTTAGACATACGTCTCTTAAAATGTTGACTCCATTTTTGACACTATGGTAACCCTGATTTTTAAAAAATACATTTTATTGATTTTTTATAGAGAAGAATGGAGAGGGAGAGTTAGAAACATCAATGAGAGAGAAACATTGATCAGCTGCCTCCTGCTCACCTCCTACTGGGGATGCGCCCGCAACCAAGGTAAATGCTCTTGCCTGGAATCGAACCTGGGACCATTGAGTCTGCAGGCCGATGCTCTGTCCACTGAGCCAAACCAGATAGGGCATGGCAACCCTGATTTTAAGATCCTGTATTGTCAGAGACTATGACAGCATTGAGGTTCAGGATAATTTTAAGTTTATAAATTCACTGTCAGTATACTCAGTTGAAGGCTTTGAACCATGCTTCTCACATCTCTTTCCTCTCTCCATTCAGCAAATATTTATTGAGTTCTTTGATGTAAAGGAGACCTTGCTCTGGGTCAAAGGACAGCAGGGACCAGGACTCTACTGATGACAGGGAGCTCTTAGAGCTATAAAGTGCAGGAGGTACCTTTTGCCTTCATAGTATACTTTTGACTTTGTGGATAACCCAGACACATGTCACATAAAACTCTTTTTTGGGGTTCTCAACTTTAGCACTATTGACATTTGGGGCCTGAGGAGTTTTGTTATGAAGCTGCAACACCCCTAGCCTCTATATCCACTGATGCTAGTAGCACCCTCCTCCCCTCCACCTCCAAATCAGCCCACTGATTGAGATATAGACTATAACTTAATTGCTTCTAAGTGTCAGAACATTTTTCAAGGTACATTTTGTGGGGATTGTTTTCCTATCAGGGGAAGTTAGAGCATCGACTCTATATGCGTCCCCCTCCGCCCCCCCTCCAAAGTTGTGAAAAATCATCGTAGACATTGCCAGATGTTACTGGGGGTGAGGAGCAAAATTGCCCCCAATTAAGAACCACTTGTCTGTATCGTAAGCAAGGTAGTTCTCCCGGTGGTTCATATGCTGTAACCAAAGAATATTGCATGAAGTGCACACCATACTGTTAACTGACCTCTCTCCCAGGGAGGCTTTACAGTCACCATCCGTGCAAAACTTTTTCTAACTCTAATGGAGCCATTCATAACTTAAATATGCCGCTTATGATACTCCTTCCCAGCAATCATTTCTGCAAATTATCAGTGCGCCTGTGAAATTGTGAGTAATTCCCAGGACACCATTCTTGAACAAGGTCACATCACACAAGCAGTAAAGAAAATTTCCTTTGTTTTCCCAATATCTTGCTAATAAGGTACCACAAATTTGTAGTCAATTACACATTTTGGGATAAAACTAGGGTGCATATAAAACATTTTATCCTTAAATTTACAAATAAAATCCGTCAAGTTAACAAGTCTATTGTCATAAAGCACTGAAGACATGAGTCAGCTGATCACCAAGTTCCTATGGAATGGAATGAGTTACTGTCAAATATGAATGAGAATTTGCTCTTGGAAACATGGGTCCAAACGATTTTCACACAAAGCTTTTTCTGTTTTATTTTCTATGTACTTTCTAGGTGCTAACCCAGATATGCACACTCTTAATTCTCCTGGGAATATATAGTTCTTTAAGTCATTGTACATTTTGTCTGTTGAATGAAATGTGTATATCAGCCTCCCGCTAAAGCAGTCTTTTGATTTCTTTCGTATCTTAAAGCAATGTGTTGAATTGACTTTTTTGTATATATCTTATTGGTTAAATTCTTCAGATATGGACTCTTGCCTTAGGTAGAGGCTTATATTTATCTTAAGCATCAATACTATGGCCAGAGTTTCTGTTTTCTCGACCAGAAAGTATTGATATTTCATGTACTACAAATGTGATTGGAATAAACCTTGGGAACAAAAGTCCTTACCAATAAAATTTCATGATCCATTCCTTTTCCAAACTGATTTTGGGTTCTTCATCTTAGGAAAATATACACTATTAATGTTTTTCACATTAAAAAGGTTTTCCTTTCACAGACATCATTATCATACTTTGAAAAATTAGAGACATCCAGTGGTGGGGAAAAATAGATAGCAAGAGAAGGATGTTTGTTATCACTACATTTAATGCTGTTCTGAAAGTGCCATCCAAGATACTCAGTCTTCAAGCAGAAATAAAGGTAGAGGGGAAAGGAGTTGGTCTAATATAGAGCTGTTATAACCTGGTGGATAAGGACATGAACTTGAGCTAGAAGGCTTGAATTTGGTTTTGAATTTTGACTCTGCCACTTACCTTGCAGCTCTTTGACCTTGGGCAAGTCTCTCCTGTTTCATGCACTTCATCTGTGAAGTGGGATAATAACAGTATAAGCTGCAAGGGATTGTTGTAAGGATTAAATGACTCAGAACACTACATAGCAATGCTAAGTGGTTAAGTGATAGCTATTATTTGTAGGTGATTTTTCTATGTAGAAAACCTAAGAAAATTAATTGATATTGAAACTATTATTAAATTTCACTGAAGTTATGAGATATGAAATGTTAAAATAGCCACTGAAAGTAACTGTATAAAATGACTTTTCTTATTTCCTTACTAGTCACTTAGCAAATATAATGGGAAAATTTTTTCATAATAGATATACATATAAATCACCTAGAAGTAACAAGAGCTTTTGGGATTTATATGAAAAGAAATTATAAAAATTTGAGTAAGAAACAGAAGAATAGAGGGAAATACACAGAGCCTCTGTGGTTGCATAGGGTCCTGTGCTCAGAAGGTTCCTGTGCTAAGATTTTAATGTTTTGTCTGCCATCTTGAAATTCTTAATTTTATATTTGAATTTGTGCTTTTAAGTGAAGTCTGGTGGGACAATGAAGCATGGTGGCATGGTGGTGGGATAAGGGCTGGAAACCTCCTCCTATCACCCCACAGGATGGCTTTTTGGTCTCCCCACTCCCACCTTGTGGCCAGTCGAACCAGGGCCCTGACACTCAGATGTATTTGGGGCTGAGTGGGCATACCTGTGGTGTCTTGGGGTGAAGAGTGATGGCACATCTTGTGGATAGCTGGCTGGGAGCTGCATCTTGGTCAGTGTGGGGCAGGGACACATCACATGTCCACCCTTGATCTCGTGTGCTCTTCGGAGAAAAGGCTGAACCTAGGGTTGGGGATGGGGAAACAATGGTGTGAGAAATCTCTTTTATGGTCAGGAAGTAAGAAAGTAATTTAAGACTAATAGGAATATCTCAATAGGACCTGAATCAGCTTGAAAGGGTTCCCGCTGGCCAAATTTGGGACAGTTTGAACAAAAGAAACAGCATTTAATTGTGAAAAAACAAAGTAAATACTGTTGGGGGTTTTTCTTAATGAAAAACAACAACAAAACAACCTTCACATATTAGAGGTTACCATTATACAAACCCATTTGGGAAGGACTATAGTTGACACCTAATTGGTGGAGGAAAAGCCTTCTAAACAGAAAAATGCTTAGTAAATGTAGAAAAAATAATAGAATTTAAAAAATCATTGCCTTAGCCAGGTCAGGATGACTTAATCAGTGAAAAATTAACATCAATCCTTCTCAAACTTTTCTAAATTAGCTGAAGAGAAAAATACTTCCTAATTCATTCTTATGAGGCCTGAATTGCACTGAACCCATATAGGGACACTACAAGAAAAGAAAACTAGCCAAAACCGGTTTGGCTCAGTGGATAGAGCATTGGCCTGCAGACTGAAAGGTCCCAGGTTCGATTCCGGTCAAGGGCATGTATCTTGGTTGCGGGCACATCCCCAGTAGGGGTTGTGCAAGAGGCAGCTGATTGATGATTCTCTCTCATCGATGTTTCTAACTCTATCTCTCTCTTCAACTCTGTAAAAAATCAATAAAATATATTAAAAAAAGAAAACTAGAGACCAATTTCCCTGATGAATATAGATGCAAAAAAATTCTCAACGAAGTATTGGCAAATATAATTCAACCTCACACTAATAAAAGGATTATATCCCTGGAATGCAAGAATAGTTCAACCTTTGATAATCCATGCAATGCACATTAACAGAATGAAAGGAAAAGATAATATGATTATCTCAATTGATACAGAAAATTTTGTTAAATAATAAAATTGAAGGAAATAGAAGGAAACTACCACAACATATTAAAGGATAAAGTGTATATTAAAAAAAAACCCCAAAGCTAATACTATATGGTGAAAGACAAAGGTTTTCCTCTAACACCAGGAAAAAGACAAAGTTGCCTGTTTTCACCACTTCTATTCAAGATGACACATGTTGGGATTACCTGGCAAGAATTTTAAAGACACTATCATTAAAAACACACACAAAAAAAACACCATTAAGGAGAAAAATGAATGTGCTTGAAATAAAAAGCAGAAAACCCCAGCAAAATAATTAAAGATATAAAAAAGAACCAAACCCTAGTTGGTTTGGCTCGGTGGATAGAGCTATGGCCTACAGATTGAAGGGTCCCAGGTTTGATTCCGGTCATGGACATGTACCTTGGTTGCAGGCACATTCCCAGTAAGGGGGTGTGTGCAGGAGGCAGCTGATCCATGTTTCTCTCTCATCGATGTTTCTAACTATCCCTCTCCCTCTCTGTAAAAAATCAATTAAAAAATATATATTTTTAAAAGAACTAAAAGGTAATTTTAGAACTGGAAATTATAATAACTGAATTAAAAAAAAAACACACACAAAAAACCCCCTCACTATTGGGCTCCATATCAGAGTGGAAATAACAGAGGAATGAATTTGTGAACTAAAGATAGAAATAGCCGAAAATGGTTTGACTCAGTGGATAGAATGTCCGCCTGCTGACTGAAAAGTCCCAAGTTCGATTCCAGTCAAGGGCACATACCTAGGTTGTGGGCACATCCCCAGTAAGGGGTGTGCAGGAGGCACCTGATAAAACAGTTATAGAGATGGAATGGAGAACAAATTAGTGGTTTATAGGGATTCAGAAAGGGTTGAGGAGAGAGCTGAATGATATAAAAGGGCAGCACAATGGTTCCTATTCATGTGAAACTGTTGTGCATCTTGACTATCATGGTGATTATACAAGTTTACACATGTAAACCATAAATGATATTATGTAAAACTGGTGAAATCTGTATAAAATCAGTGTAAATTTCCTGGTTGTGGTATTGTACAAGTAAGATGTTACCATTGGGGGGACCTGGAGAAAAGCACATGGATTTCTACCTATTATTTCTTACTCCTGCATGTGAATTGCCATTGATCTTGAAATAAAAAGTAGGATTTTAAAAATCTATTAAATCATATGGAAACAACCCTGAGCCCGTCAAGTAATGAATGAATAGAAAAACAGTGGAATTTTTGTGTGTGAATTGACGTTATTTATTTATTTATTGCTCTATAAATTTTTTTTCTTTATTGATTAAGGTATTACATATATGTCCTTATCACCCCATTGCCCCCTCACCCCCTCTCTCATGCCTTCACCTCTCTGGTATCTGTGTCCATTGGTTAGGCTTATGTGCATGCATATAAGTCCTTTGGTGGATCTCTCCCTCATACCTTATTTTTATTAGATTGAGGAAAAAGATTGCCCATGACCATATAGGTGATGTCCAAATTGTTCTGGGCTGCAAACATTGCACAGCTCCTCCGTTGCCTGGAGGCAGGATGCCTTGGGACAGAGGGAGGTGGAGCAGGTCACTGAACAATGGGTTGGTCGGAGTTTAGAGGGAGGAGGCAGTTCAAGCTCCGGCCAAGCGTGCCCAGGCCTTGCACCTGTGCCCTGAGTTTCTTGGAAACGGCTGAAGTAACTTTTGTAACCGTTGGGTTGTCATTGTTAACTGTCCTAACTCCCTCTTGTGGATTCTGGGTATAAATTTGCTGTAACACCTGTGGTCTGCACTGCAGTTCGGCCTTTACCGAGGTGAAGTGCTGCGACTGTAGTCACTGGCCAGCTTAATAAAGGCTCATAAATATTGATCTCTGTCTCTGGCACAATGGATTGAAATATATGGTGGTCGTCCCTTGCGGGTCACCCCATAACACAAATCTTTATTAAATTTATTGGAGTAACATTGGTTAATAAAATCATATAGGTTTCAGATATGGATTTCTATGATACAAGAGCTATGTATTGCACTGTGCCCACCACCCAAGTCAAATCATCTTCCATCACCACATATTGAGCTCCCTTCACCCGGCCTACCCCCTTCCCTCTGGCAACCACCACACTATTGTTTGTGTCCATGAGTTTCAGTGTAATATCCCACATATGATGAAATCACACTGTTCTTAGATTTTTTCTGCCTGGCTTATGTCACTTAGCATAATATTCTCAAGGTCCATGCATGTTGTTGCAAATGGCAGTATTTCATCTTTTCTTACACTAAGTCTAGTAGCCATCTGATTTCACTTAGCATCTGAAATTAAAAAATAAATAAATGAACAAACCAAACAAAACTAAAGTGGAGTCCTAGAAACAAAGAACAAACTGATGGTTGCCAGAGGGCAGAGGGTGGAAGAATGGGTAAAAAGGTGAAGGGGAATATAGTCAATAATAGTGTGATAACTGCATGATGACAGATGGTTACGAGACTTAGTGTGGTGATCACCTTGTAAGGTATATAAATGTTGAATCACTGTGTTGTACACCTGAAACTAATATAATAGTGTATGCCAACTCTACTTTAATAGAAATTAAAATATATAAATAATTGTTAAATTAAGAAAAGTGACACAGCTGTCTCTGAGCAGAACTTCCTGAGCGACTTCTCTGTGCTTGCCAATGCAGACTGTGGCCTTGTATGGTCGGGGTCGCCCCCTTGGAAAGTTCTGAGGCCTGCTTCTCTTTTAAAAAAATAATGAGTTGTCTGCAGGGCTGGATGTCTGGTTTAAATTTCCTCTACAGAAGGACACGCCTGCTGAGCGCTTGCTCCCTTAATGAAGAGTCAATGAAGCTGAAAGTTATCTAATTTTTTGGATCTGGGTGGCAGCCAGAAGACTGGTAAGCATTCTTAAATCTGAAGGAAATTCACCTAAGCATTAAGATTTCAGCTGAAATTCTGGTGGCACCTACTTTGAGATTAACAGGTGGGATGTGGAAGGTATCTGGTCATCTCCTGGTTTGAAAAGTAAGACGGGTGGGTGGACGGGATCACTATTTGAAGTGCAGTATTTCTCATCACTTGATAGGGCCTCATTCTGAAAGCCCAGGCTATGTGTTTGGATCAACCAATCAAACGGGGGCTGGGGTAGGTGGTCTGTTGAATGTGCTTTCTTTCTTTTACATTTTAAAAAATATATATTTTATTGATTTTTTACAGAGAGGAGGAGAGAGGGATAGAGAGCTAGAAACCGATGACAGAGAGTCATCGACCAGCTGCCTCTTGCACACCCCCTACTGGGGATGTGCCTGCAACCAATGTACATGCCCTTGACCGGAATCAACCCGGGACCCTTCAGTCCCCAAGCCGACGCTCATCCATTGAGCCAAACCGGTTTCGGCTCTTTTACATTTTTTAAATTTATTGATTTGAGAGAGAAAAACATCAATTTTATTGTTCTACTTATTTTTGCATTCATTGGTTGATTTTTAAAAAATACATTTTATTGATTTTTTATGGAGAGGAAAGGAGAGGGACAGAGAGCCAAGAAACATCAATGAGAGAGAAACATTGATCAGCTGCCTCCTGCACACCTCCCACTGGTGTTGTGCCAGCAACCAAGGTACATGCCCTTGACCGGAATCGAACCTGGGACCCTTCAGTCCGCAGGCCGACATTCTATCCATGACCTAAACCGGCCTCAGCTGTTCTTCTTTTTAAATGCATATTAATTCTAAGCTGTGACATGAAGTTTGTGTGTGTTTTTTTCTTTGTCACAGCCCTACCACTTATGTATGTATCTCCAAGAGTATGATTAGGTTAGCATGCTTTGGGGTTTTTGTGTGATGGTATTATGCTGCAGTATATCTTTTTGTGATTTGCTTCCCCAGCATATTACAACCTGAGGTTGAGTCCCACTGTTGTGTCAGCTGTTTTCAATAATTTTCACTGCTCTGGTATTTGATTACATATGAATATACCAAAATTTAGTTTTACTTTTTACTGAATGGGCATTTGCCCCCTCAATTCTTTTTTTTAAAAATATATATTTTATTGATTTTTTACAGAGAGGAAGGGAGAGGGACAGAGAGTTGGAAACATCGATGAGAGAGAATCATCGATCAGCTGCCTCCTGTACACCTCCCACTGGGGATGTGCCTGCAACCAAGGTACATGCTCCTGACCGGAATCGAACCCAGGATGCTTCAGGCCAACACTCTATTCGCTGAGCCAAACCGGTTAAGGGCTGCCCCTCAATTCTTAGTGATTATAAATAAAGTAGAGGCCTGATGCAAGAAGTATGTGCAAGGGGCTCAGCCCCGGCTGCTGTGGTGACAGCCTCCGCCCGGCCTGCGCAGCTTTGTCAGGAAGGTCGTCCAGTCTAATTAGCATATTATGCTTTTATTATTATAGATAATTATAGACTAGAGGCCAGATTCATGAAAATTCATGCAAGAGTAGGCCTTCCTTACCTTCCCCTCCCCCTTACTGCTGGCACCAGCTTTCCTCCAGCACCTGGGACCCAGATTTCCCTCCTCTGGAGGGTAGTCTGGAAGGACGTCTGGTCTAATTAGTATATTACACTTTTATTATTACCAATGGAGCTATAAACAGTAGGTCTACTTGTTCAGATGCACAAGTGTTTCTCCAGGGTAATATATTCTTCAGGGAGGATGTATATTTTCAATTTCAAATTATTCTACAAAGTGATAGAACCCAATTATACTATCATCAGCAGAGATTAGTACAGGAGCACAGAGACCCTCCCACCCTTCACACACAACACACTAAACGCATGCACGGAGAGATCAAGCAAAGGACTTGTATGCATGCGTATAAGCCTAACCAGTGGTCATGGACGACAGGGGGGTGGGGGCACACAGGGGGTGGGACATCCGTGGGGAGGGGTTTGGAATGGGAATGGGGAGGATGAGGACCATTATGTGATACCATAACCAATAAAGAAATTTAAAAAAATAAAAAATAAACACGTGCACAGACCCATAAAAAGATCCACGCCCGTGCACCACACACGTACAACAGCGCGATACCACAGACACACTCAGACACACAAACGTACGTCACACACTCCACGTATTCACACGCCAGCCCCTCAGACGATCCAATCAGGAGGCTCGGCCTCCGCCGGCCCGCTACGGAGGAATCTTGTCCCGGCCGCGCCGCCGTCGGACGCCCGGGGTCAGAGGTCACGGCATCGTTGGCGGTGGCCTTTTTTCCCCCTTTCCTACCGGAAAGCACGGCTGGGCCGGACCTGACTGACCCGTGTGGCGGTTGTGAGCGCCGGACCCGGCCTCTGGTCCTCGCGTGGGCCCCACGGAGCCGGACACCGCTCCCGGAGCGGCGGGGAGGATGGTGCCGAGCGGCCCCAGGCCCGCCGCTCGCCGCCGCGCGTGAGGTCGGAGCGGCCGCGGGCGTCCGCCGAGCAGCTGGCCGGGCCGGGCCCGGGGCGCGCCGCTCTCCGCCGGCGCGAGGTGAGCCGGGCGCGCGGCCCGGGCTGGGTTCGGCGGGGCCGGCCGCGGGGCGGGGAGAGGCCGCGCTGGTCCCGGCGGGTTTGCTCCTCGCCTGTCGGGGTGCCGCTCCCGCCCCAGCGGCCGGCGGGGGGCGTCCCGCGCTGGTGGCCGCGGCCTGGTCACCGCCCGCCCCCGGGGTTTGCCTACCGCGTCCCGGGGGCACGATTCCCTTCCGGCCCTCGACACGGCCGGGTTTCCCACTACGGAGCTGAGGCTGCGAGGATTCGGATTTGGCCTTAGGGAGCATTTTGGGAGTTTGCCTTTTTTTTATTTTTTATTTATTTTTTTTGAGTTTGGGTCGTGTTTCCGTTATTCTGCATTTGCACATGATATACGTGTCAGACGGAAGGTGGGAGGTAGAGGTCCAGGTTCACGCCAGAAACTCAAAGTGAAATCGTGGCATTTTACGTGTCAAGCTGGGTAACTTGTTCAGAGGTGGGTGGGTTGTTGTCTTCACTTGTATTTCCAGAAAGTGCATTACGGAATGGCTTCAGGGTAACCTGGAGGCTTGTAGACCCGGTTCCCGGGAGAGGCACCATCGGGAAGAAACGAGGCCTGTTGTGCTGTTTTGAATCGCGTGAATAACCGTAACTGGCGGACAGCTGGTGAGGAGGCTGTGGCTGAAGAATCAGATGTCTGTAGTTGAGCTCTCAGCGGCAGGTTACAGCCCCCACTGGAGGGATGAAGGCCGGGCTTCTTTGCAGCCCGCTCTGGCCGGGAAGGCTGTGGCTCCTCCTGAGCTGCTGCTCTCCTGACTCAGAGGCGAGCCGCTATGGGAGGCAGTGGAGGGAGAACTACAAGGCCGGTGATCAATATTTAATCAGTTAGTTGTCCCTGTAGCACTTTTTTTTTTTTTTTTTTTTTGTCAGCTTGGGGTCTGTGCATTTGTATCCCATCTGTAGGTGAATGCTCCCTCAGCGCTTGAAGGTTAGAGAGCACCTTCCTGCTTCCTCATCTCCTCTCAGGGGTTTGAAAGGAAATAGACCTGTTGTGCAACTAACATATACATAGTCCGTGCCTCCAAGCCCACGGACTGTCTGAGAGTGAGGAGGCAGTGTGTTGATTTCCTTGTAAAGGAAGAGGAAAAATTTCTGTGGCCTCATTGAGGTGGACTGGAGTCAGGGCTGCTGCCACCCACTTCTGGGTACTGAGGTCACCCACTGCCCACTGAGCACACCTCCTCGGTGTGGGCTCTGCCTGCAGCTGCAGGGGAGAGAAACAGACCTAAGTACAAGTATGGCTTCTGCCGGCAGAGAACTTAGAAAGAATTAGACTGTAGGGATTAATTGCCTATGGCGTTACCACCTATTAGGGATTTTGTTGTGATTATGGTCCGAGAAGGCCTCATAAAGGAAGTGACTTTTGAGGTGGACCTTAAGGATCAGCGGATTAGCTGGAAAATGAACAAGGTAGGGCTGATTGGTGCAACAGCACCCAGATTAGATAGTGGGGCAATAGGATAGTAGTGTAGAAAAACGGACAGAGGCAGCCGTGTAAAGGTTAAATGCTTTTCTAAGATAGAAAAGCATGGGCTATGCAGTCTGGCTTTTGGTAGGTTTCTGGGTTCTAAGGAATTGTTTTCATTTGATGAGTTTCTCTTGTTCTTTTAGCCAACCAGTTACACAAATCACTGCCTAACTTATTTTAAGGACATAAAAAAAATGTTGATTGTAATTGCTGTTTGGTATTAACAATCAGAAAATTAAATTTGCTGTCTGTGAGGTATTTCAGTGCCAATGTTTAGTTTTAAGGAGCCCCGCTCTGCCACTGTGACTACAGCCAAGTGCAATATGACAAGCTCTTTAGCCATTTTCTGAGTGTTTTTAATGACATCTAATTCACAGAGTTGCTATTCGTTTCTCTTACCAACATTGTTGAAGAAACCTTTGAAACCATTGAAACAGGATGATGCCTGGCAATTGCTCTGGAACATCATGAACTAGTCTCAGGACCTCACTTGCTTCAACCTTAGCCTTTTGTTTTCATGAGATATAATTGACATACAACATTATATTAGTTTCAGGTGTACATCATAATGGCTCAATATTGTATATATTGCACAATGATCACCACAATTAACAACTGTCACCATACATAGTTACAGAATTTTTTCTGGTCAAGCAAACTCCCTTAGCAACTTTCAAATATGCAATACAGTATTATTAACTACATTCACCATGTTGTACATTACATCCCTGTGACTTATTTTATAACTGGGAGTTGGTACCTTTTAATTCCTTTCACCCATTTTGGCATCCCTGCCCCTACCCCTGGCTACCATCAATATATTCTCTGTATCTAAGAGCTTGTTTTGCTTTGGGGGAGGAGTTTTGCTTTAGATTCCACATATAAGTTAGATATGGTATTTGTCATTGTCTGGCTTTTTTATATTCGAATAATTCCATTAAGGGCCATTTTTGTTGCAAATTATAAGATTTCATTCTTTTTTATGGCTGAATTGTGTATATATACACCACATCCTTAGCCTTTCTTTTCTTTTAAAAAAATATATATTTTATTGATTTTTTTTTGCAGAGAGGAAGAGAGAGGGATAGAGAGTTAGAAACATTGATGAGAGAGAATCATCGATCAGCTGCCTCTTGCATACCTCCCACTGGGGAAGTGCCACAACCAAGGTACATGCCCTTGACCAGAATCGAATCTGGGACCTTTCAGTCTATCCACTGAGCCAAACCGGCTTCGGCTTTAGCTTTTCTTTAAACAAGTTCCACACTGCACCATCTTAACTTTTATTTTTAAAATATATATTTTATTGATTTTTTAAATAGAAATTAAGAGAGAGGGATAGATAGAAACATAGATGAGAGAGAAACATCAGTCAGCTGCCTCCTGCATACTCCCTACTGGTGATGTGCTCACATCCAAGGTACATGCCCTAGACTGGAATTGAACCTGGGACCCTTGAGTCTGCAGGCCAGCGCTCTGTCCACTGAGCCAAACCAATTAGGGCCCATCTTAACTTGTTAATGCTTCTTTTTGACTGTATTCTCCTAACTCACTCCTTTATTTTCTGATAGCATGACAATCCATGGATGCTAGATCTTTGGGATGTTTTTGTCAATGTTCACATGCCACAGAATTCCATTGCCATGTAAGAGGGTTTTAAAATTTTATTTATTTTTTACTGTAACATCCCAATTAAAATGAAGAAAAAAAATGGAGGAAAGATAGAGTTTTTAACAAATTGAATTTCCACTAAGGATTTATTTTGATAAACATAGAAATCCTTAAATGTTCTTTTCCAGATACATATTGAATAAATTTGACAAGAAGTCTGTAGCTCATTCACTGTGTATAATTACCTACCTAACTAGTCCTGGGGATTACATTACAACCTTTGGTGATGATAATGTGTTGTTATTTGCCAAATTGAACTTTGCTATTTGGTTAGAGGTCCTGTTTTTTGAAACATCTCTCAGTCTTTAAACTGAGTTTGTTATAATATTTCATAATGAACTTTTAGTGTTCACTTAATCTTGTCATTGCTCATGATTTGTTTTTCATTTTTGTGATTTGTTTTCTTAAATATCTTTTAATTGGGCTATAATTTAGATATACTAATTTCAGGTATATAAATAATGATTTGATACTTGTATATATTGAAAAATTAACATCCATCAATTCTGTAATAAATAATCTGTATAGTGCATTGTATGCTTACCATTTCAAGCCTAGTCTCCTTCCATCACCATATATTTAACCCCTTTACCCTCTTCAGTCTTCCCACACTCCTCTCCTCTGGTAACCACAATACTGTTTGTTGTCTGTGACTATGAATTTGTTGCTTTCTGTTTTGTATCCCACATATAAATGAAATTATATGGTTCTTGTTCTTTTCTGTCTTACTTTGCTTAGCATGATACTCTCAAGACCCAGCCATATTGTTGCAAACGGCATTATTTCATCCTAATGGCTGCATAGTATTCCATTGTATATATGTATCACATCTTTATGCTATTATCCATCAAAGAATACTTAGGCCGTTTCATGTCTCAGTTACCATGAATAATGCTGCAGTAAACATGGGGTACATACATCTTTACAAATAAGTGTTTTCAAAATTTTCAGGTAGAGACCCAGAAGAGGGATTGCTGGGGGAAATGGTAACTCTAGTCCTCATTTTTTAAGAACAACAATCTGAGGGTTTCTTTTTCCCCCATAGCCTTTCCAACACTTGTTATTCCTTGTCTTATTGATAGTAGGCATTCTAACAGTTGGGAGGTGATATCTCATTTTAAAAAAATTTGGATTTCCCTTATAGCAAGTGAAGTTGAGCAACCTTTAATATATCTGTTGTATGTCTTCTAGGTCCTCAGGCCCATCTCCCCCTTTTTTTAAGTATACATATCCTGAAGATTTTATTGTCACATAATAAAACAAAATATGAAGCTTAGAACTAGACCACTTTACCCTTTCTCTTCCTATCTCCTCCCAGTTCAAAATGTTTGCATCTCTTAATAGCCAGCATTCTCTTAACTCTGCAGTTGGGCTTAATGCATTCAACCCTCAGCAGTTTTAGCTTTTTTGCTGAAAATTGGTCTGCCCACCAGAGCCCCTCTTGCTTCCTGTCATAACTCTGTTTTCTCTGAGCATACAGAGAATCCTTGCCCTTCTTGTGAACTTAATGCTTGCCATACCTCTTAAAGAAAGTCTAGTGAGTTTTAGGAATGTTCACCAAGTTTGCAAGAGCCTTATTGGAACAGAAAAGCCCTCTGCACACTTTTAAATTGGATTGTTTGTTTTATTGTTTAGTTGTATGAGTTCTTTATGGGTATTATTTATATAATAGTGCCTGGTGCATGGATTCATGAACATTGAAAGAAAATTAATTAGAAGGTGGCTGGCGGGGTGGAACTAGGTGAGACAGGCTGGATACCCCTTGGAACGAACCTCGCATGGTACCTCTCCGGCCACCTGCACCTGGGCAGTGCCGTGGCTCT